TTGTCTGGCTCAGTCTCCGCAGCTTCATAAGCAGATGGCAATATGTGGTGACCTGCGACGCGTCTTCGAGGTTGGTCCTGTTTTCAGAGCAGAAGACTCCTTCACTCATAGACACCTGTGTGAGTTCGTTGGTCTTGATGTGGAGATGGAGATTTATACGCACTATTCTGAGGTAAGATTGTTCTGCTAATTATAATATTTCATCTCAAGTATCTCTATCCTGCTGCCAATGATACTTACATATTTCTTGTTTGTGCAGATTATGGATCTTGTGGACGAGCTGTTTGTCTTCATATTCACTAAATTGAACGAGAGGTGCAATAAGGAACTAGAAGCTGTCAGAAAGCAATACCCATTTGTACCTTTGAAGGTAACAATGAAGTATGATCAAAGGATATTATAGTAAACTGAGTATCTTTCTATCTTTTTGGATTCTGATGATTTTTTTTTTATTTGATTGGATTCTGATGATTAGCACTAAACTTACTTGCAGTTTCTTCCAAAAACGTTGAGGCTAACTTTTGCAGAAGGGATTGAAATGCTTAAGGTATGACTGGTCCTTTTGCATTTGACTTGGTGACTTATTTACTATCAATAATATTTGTTAATCTTGTATGTGTTGACAGGATGCTGGTGTGGAGGTTAATCCTCTTGGAGATCTAAATACAGAATCTGAGAGAAAGCTTGGCCAGCTCGTTTTGGAAAAGTATAACACAGAGTTTTACATGCTGCATCGCTACCCTGCTGCAGTTCGGCCTTTCTACACTATGCCATGTGCAGACGACTCTCGCTACAGCAACTCATTTGATGTCTTCATAAGAGGTGCATCTCTGAGTTTTTGGTTTTTGACTATCTGTCTTCTCACCGATTGTGTTGCCACTCATTCTAATACTAAATTTGCTCTTTTGTCCTAGGTGAGGAGATCATATCAGGAGCTCAACGTGTTCATATCCCAGAAGTCTTGGAGCAACGTGCAGGAGAATGCGGCATTGATGTGAAGACAATAAAAACATACATCGATTCATTCAGGTACGGTGCACCTCCTCACGGTGGATTCGGAGTGGGGCTTGAGCGAGTGGTAATGCTCTTTTGTGCCCTCAATAACATCCGCAAAACATCGCTCTTCCCTCGTGACCCTCAAAGACTCGCTCCCTAATACAATCTGTTCAACTCAAAGCTAAAGCATGGATAATTCGCCAGATTTGCAGATCTTTCGCCAGATTTGCAGATCTTTCTCATGAATATTTTTTAAGAGTTTAAGGGATTTATTATCTTTGCCTGATTCTTGCCCTTTAGTGCAAGTGAATCTTGATTTTAGTTCTGTGATACTTCTGTGTCTTTCACATTACCGAGTAAACTAAACCCATTTCTCCCAATATTTTTTGTTGAATATTGATATTCTGATGAATTAGTATATGTTCAAATATAAATAATATGCCGTTCCGTTACCATAACCAAAGCTATTGTCTACTTTGCACGCAGGCTCAATTTTGTTACTTTAAACACACTGAACTAGCCATTGGAAGATGATAGAACGTAGATCTTGTGTGATAATTCGTACTTCTGTGTTTGCTGTGTCAGGTGTATGATAAACCAAGTGAGATTATGGCGGATAAATTTAGTGATTCAGTTTAGCAAATATGTAAATATTTAAGTTGATCTTCCCACTTAATTTAACAAAATTATATGCTGCTATCGGTACGTCTTTTATTAGGTTTTTTTTTTTTTTGTCACACATTAGCAAAATTCAGGAGCTTTGTTGTGACGATTGAGAAAAAGAAATATGTTCTCAAAAACCTTGGAGTAGTGACAAAGATTAATGGAGTAAATGGAGGCGTTGATAAGTTTTTTTCAAAGCTGAGATCATCACAATTTTTTCATAGTAACAACTAGGAGACAAGGCATAACTTTGTTACTCTAAAACAGACTGAACTAGCCATTAGAAGATGAGAAGTGGAACTGAATCTCATCTGGTTGTTGATCTTGCACTCATGGATGTGTGATAATTCGTACTTCTGTGTTTCCTGTAAGATGTATAAACATCATCATACTGAGTTGGTTCGTTGGGATCAGCTGTTGCTCCAAGTCCCAACCTCCCAGATCCGCTCTTTTTATCGGTGCTCCCATCTGCATATGTTCCTGTCTCAGGGTCCACCTGTAGATTTGGAGGTGGAGGAATACAGGCACCTCCTTTGCGCAGTGGACTATCCCGCTCGTAATCATCATAGTCGTCTTGCGATTCAGATCCCATTGGACCTTCACTCGGGTTGACCTCACCTATCTCTTTGAAGAACTTTGACACTCTCTCCAGTACTTGAGATTGAGGTGTATCAGATGGTGGTATCACGGTTGGGATATCAAGAGGGCTCAATGGGGAGTAAGGCACACCACTACCGATCTGCATCTTTCTGACCATCCCAGGGATCAGACCAGGAGGAAACAGAGGATAAGGAGGCGGCTTCTCACCAGCAGGTGGTTGTGTTGGAGGTGGAACAGAGGGTATGGAACCGGGAAAGGCACCAGGAGGCATCACATTTGGGATAAACTGTTGGGCTGCGACCGGATTACTAGGCAGATGCTCTAAATTCATTGTGCTAGGAACATTACTGCTTGGTGGCTGTTGCATCATTCCTGCAAGTGGATAAAGATAAACAAACTTGTTGGCGTCTGGTCGAATCAAAACCAAATTCATTTTTACATAGGTCAACAGTTATGTTTTCTGTTTCTCTCACGGAAGACCAGGAGTACCTGTATGCTGTAAGGGGTTTGCTGCTATAATGGGTGAACGAGAAAAGGTATTTGCAGGTGGTCCACTTTTCATCTCTTTCTCAAGGGAGGAGATGGTATCTTGATCAAAAACCTCCTTAGAAGCCCAGAACTGCAAAATCTTCTCCAGACGTGACTGGTTTTCTTCCTTGTTCTGTGGGAAGTGGTAAATCCTTCCCAGCATGGAACCCAAAACAGGTCTGAAAGCAAGGGCTTCGTTGTCAAACTCGTGCAAGTTTGTCCTCCGTTGCAAACTGTGTGTAAGGAGGCAAAACGTCAGAGGAAAAGCATGAGAATATACTAGATTATAACATTATAATTTAGCTGTATATTAAATGAACCAGGAACTGAAAAGCACAGAAAATAAACGAAAAAAACAAAGATTATGTAGTAAACCCCTAGAATTATATAAACAAAAACCAGTGATTTAGCTCAGATACCTGTCAAAGAGAATGTCATTAGCTAGATAAACTATGTGCATCTGTCTATCAGAATCATCCATTGCAAAGACCCTCTCTCTAAGTGCCTCTGCTAAAGCTGGTGCAAAGGGAGATCTCTGCATGAACCAAATCTTAGCACTTTTGATAGACTCTTTTGTGCCATTAAGGTTGGACAATACACCATTTAGTTCCATTGCAACATCAGCAGGGAGTGGACCAGAAAGACCTCGGAATGCATGAGTTGCCTGATCAAAATCAGGACGAGCATGGGGCGGGACAAAAGGATGAGGTTGCGGAAGATGCTGGTGGTCATGGAACGGAGGGTAAGGAGGTTGGCGTATTGGTGGTACTGCCAATGCACCGGGCACATTGTTCATTGTAGGACTCATCATGGGATTTGGGGGGTGATGCATCATAGGCATAGAAGGTGACTGAAACGAAGGATCAAAAGGTCCTCCAGGGGGATGCATAGAGAGAAATTGCTTATAGCGGTAGTAACCATGCCCTTCACCACCAAACAGAAACGCATAATCAGGATTATCCTTCTGTCTATCACGCATCATAGCCTCAAACTCGGGACCGTTCTTAACCGAATACTCAACAAGCTTATCGATTCGCTTCTGCAGCTCGGGGTCAGCTGGAGGTGGAGGAGGAGGAGCTGAATCATACGGTCCAGGGAATGGTGAAGGAAGGTGATGTGGAGGTAAATGTGGATAGAAAGCCTGAGGTTGCTGTTGACCAAACATATGTGGGTGAGGAGGATGAGGAAGTTGCTGCTGCTGCTGCTGCTGCTGCATAGGAGGAGGATGCTGGTAAGGGAATTGCTGCATAGAAGGGTGAGGAGGCATAAAACCAGGAGCGTTCATTGGTGATGGATATGGTTGATGTTGAGGATGGAATCCGAATTGCTGTTGAAAGTTTGGGACTTGCTGCTGTTGCTGTTGCTGTTGCTGAGGATACGGCAACCCAGAAGATGCAGCATAATCGTGCTGCCTTCGATCCATTTTTATGAACGTTGAGAAAGTTGTGTTCCTGAGAAGAATGCACAAACAAACAGAAGCGTTCCAAATTGGTCATATGAATCAACACAGCTCAAAAACGAAACAAGTAATCCAACTTAGCGAATCAGCATCTAGGCAAAAGAGGAACTTTGAAGTATAAACAGGTTAAAAATCAAAGCCACATCGATTAACAACAGCTGATAAATCACGAACCTAACAGAAGAAACTTGGAGAGATTGTGAGTCAATTTGGAGAGAGGGAGACACAAGACCTAGTTCTCTCACTTACAAACAAAGAAAAACGCAAATTTCTGAGAAATTAGTTGAGCCCGATGGAGCAGAAGCTAAACTTGCCTGAGGAAGAAGAGAGAGAGAGAAGAGAATGAGACGACGACAAAGATCCGGCTTTCTTGTTTGGGCCAAGGAAACCCGTATACATGACCCGCTTCGAATACCTGATTGACCTAGACCCGACCCGATTCTAGTTATAAACCGATAAACCCCAGAAACAGAGAGTAAACCCTTTGGAGTTTCTCCTCCGCTATTAGCAAAATCTTTCTTCTTTCTGCTGGATATATGAAAAGCAACGGAAGAACTCGTGGGACGATTTGAAGCTCTTTGAATCAATCAGAGTCTTCCCAATGCAGAGAACGCTCTCACTTGCGGCTTCTAAGTCTTCTTCTTCGAGTTCAGTTCTGTCTGTTCGTCCTCTCATGGCTAAGGTTAGTGTTTGAATTTTCCTCTGGTGTGTGTGGGAGGGGAGGGGGGTTACTCCAATGTCTGATTCTCGATTCAAATTTTCATACTTTATGGCTAAATCTTTATACTTCATTTTAGTAGTGCAGGCAAAGGAGTCGAATTCGTTTCAATTTTTCGTTGATGCTATATTGTTTGTAAGCGTTTGACAATTTATCACTAGAACTCATGTAGATTCTTGCGTCTGCTTGTTTTTGTCGTTGCAGTTGCAGTGCAGGGCAATTCAGAATTTCCCAGCCTCGTCTTCCTCTTCATTAGTTCGGGTGGATAAAGTCTATAGAAATGTATGCCAGCTTCAGTTTAAAAGGGAAAATGCAAGTTGTTTTAAGTTAGCTTGCGCACTTCCTTCGCATCTGAGGCTTCTCAGTTCTGTTAGTTATGCAACACATTGGAGCAGTTCGAGTTTAAGGTCATTTGGAAATAGTTTCAGACCGTTTCCGGGGAGATATTTTTCTCAAGTCCCCAATGCTGGAAAAAAGGATAAGATTGTTGGTGGTGATGGAAAAGGTGGTGGGAATAGATCAGGTATCAACAAGTTTAATAAGAAGTGGAAGAAGCATAAGGTTTTGGCTTCCTCTGAAGTTGAAGTGGTGGCTTCTACTGAACCAGTTATTGGAGATGTTAGCAGTGGCATCAAGGTGGACCTATCAACTGCAGCTTCACCTGCCTCTACTGTCAAACCAAAACGGCGCCCAAAGAGCAAGAAAGTCCAAGACAAATCTTCCTCAACGGTATCGGTTTTGGAGGAGGTCGCTGTAGAAGAGAGTTTGAAAAGCGTTCCCAAGTCAAAACATTCTGGCTCTGGAAATCGCAAGTTGTCATCTGCTAAGGTATAATCTTAAAGTTTGGGGAACATGATACTCTTACCCTAGCGTATTTTACCTAACAGTACAGTTCTCAGAAGGAGGTGGCAATTATGGAGGTGCCTAAAAGTTCTGACCCATCAAATTCCAAGTCGGAACAACAGCATGGGAAGTCAACAAAAGCAAGCAATGCACCAAAACAGGAGGAGGCTGGGGAACCAGCCTCTACTGTCAAAACAAAACGGCGGCCAAAGAGCAATAAAATCAATGACAAATCTTCTTCAGCGGTACCAGTTTTGGAGGAGGTCTCTGTAGAGGAGAGTTCAAAAGGCGTTGCCAAGCCAAAACATTCTGGATCTCGAAATCGGAAGTCTGCATCTGCTAAGGTATTAGACTTTCAATTTTTGTTGGGACAGAATAGTTTTACCCTTGCTTCTTTTTCACCTAACAGTATAGTTATCAGAAGGAGGTGGCGAAAAATCCCTTGGAGGGGGCCAAAAGTTCTACTCCATCAAATTCCAAGTTGGAACAGCAGCAGTTGAAGTCAACAAAGGCAAGCAAAGCAGCAAAACAGAAGCAGGTTCCTCAACCTCAACCCATGAAAAACAGCATAGAGCATCGAGGGCAAAATGCTTCTAAACCGCTTTATCCGCCAAGTGGAAAATCTGTTGTTGTCGTTGAGTCAATCACAAAAGCAAAGGTTATTCAGGGTTATCTTGGTGACATGTATGAGGTTTTGCCAAGTTATGGTCATATCAGGGACCTGGCCTCCAGGTCTGGTTCAGTGAGGCCAGATGATGATTTTAGCATGGTTTGGGAGGTTCCATCTTCCGCCTGGACTCATATTAAGAGCATAAAGGTGGCATTAAATGGGTAAGGTTTCTTAACTGTTTAACTAATTTTAAAAATCCGTAGTTGCTGTTATCATCTATTCCCTAGTTTTAGAATAGGTTCCGGGTATGTCATTATGCTGTCTAGCTATTGAGATAGATGACTGCTTCAAACTTTAGATGATATGAGCTACTTCTTTCCTTGGCTTTTCTTGTTGTACTTCTCTACCTCATTCTGTTTACCTTATTCCTCAGAGCTGAAAATCTGATTCTTGCGTCGGATCCAGATCGCGAAGGAGAGGCAATTGCCTGGCACATCATTGAGATGTTGCAGCAGCAGGGTGCCTTACATGAAAGTATGACAGTAGCAAGGGTGGTTTTCCATGAGATAACTGAGTCAGCAATAAAAAGTGCACTTCAATCCCCACGAGAAATTGACGGGGACTTGGTACATGCATATCTCGCACGGCGTGCTCTTGATTATCTAATCGGATTTAATATTTCACCTCTACTTTGGAGGAAACTTCCGGGTTGCCCGTCAGCTGGTCGAGTCCAGTCTGCTGCCTTGGCTCTTATATGTGATAGAGAAAGTGAAATTGACGGATTTAAGCCTCAGGAGTACTGGACTGTAGGAATCAAAGTGCAAGGGAAAGAATATTCAGCCCCTTTTCCAGCTCATTTGACCAGTTTAAATTCAAAAAAGTTAAATCAGCTTTCTATAAGCTCTGAAGCAGAGGCACAAGACATTGAGCAAAGGATCAGGTCAGAAGGTTTTCTAGTGAAGGGCACTAAAAAAAGCACTATACGGAAAAACCCACCAACTCCATATATAACATCCACCCTCCAGCAGGATGCTGCTAACAAATTGCATTTTTCAACAGCTGTGACCATGAAGGTTGAAAAACTGAAACCTTTTTATTTTTCGTTTTATTCACTTTTTCATTGAGGGCCTAGTTCTGATAATATGTACGTTACAGCTTGCCCAAAAACTATATGAGGGTGTCCGACTGTCCGATGGTAAATCAGCCGGTCTTATAACATACATGCGGACAGATGGTTTACATGTGGGTGGTCTCTATACTTGTGTATTTTCTGCTATTGGACATTCATTTTTGTTTTGATTTTCAAAATTAGTACCGACTGATTCATCTTGCCATCTTTTACAACTTCTTTTTGATTTTACTTGTTTATTTTTTCATTTGTTTCTGTTTCCCATCAGATAGCTGATGAAGCTATCAAAGATATACAGTCCTTGGTGGTAGAAAGGTAAGACTTAAATGCATCTGTGAAGTTATTCTACGTTAGTCCATTGACTCGAGAAAAATTTAGCAGCTATCCTACTTATCATTTGCAGGTATGGGAAGAATTTCACATCAGCTGGTCCTCGTAAATATTTTAAAAAGGTTAAGAACGCTCAGGAGGCGCATGAAGCTATTAGACCTACCGATATACGTAGATTACCGTGTAAGTAAATATTTTACCATTCTTCCTTAAAAGTATAGAATGTATTTTAGCGGTCATCAATAATCAGCCATAGAATTTGTTGTCGTAACTCTTAACATTTCTTTTATGCATTTCCAGCAACGATTGCCAGCCTGGTTGATGCTGATTCTCTAAAATTATATACCTTAATATGGTCACGAACTGTGGCATGTCAAATGGAGCCGGCTTCGATTGCGCTGGTAATATATGTGCTATTTTGCACTTCAACTCATGCATATAGTGTCAAGTAGGTTCTTATTGATCAGCGTGAAAAAAAGAAGGGAAAAGGAGAGTTTGTAACTTAATTTTCTCATCAACCGATATTGAATGGTTCAAGGTTTAATATTTCAAATCCAACATAATTCTCCAATTTTTTTTCCGACTCTTTTCTTTCTCAGATGCAAATTGATATTGGAAATGCCTCTGAATCCATTATCTTCAGATCATCATGCTCAAAAGTCGACTTCCTTGGATACCAGGCAGTTTATGAGGTATAATCTATTTCATATTATCGTTGATTACTTGGCAACTATATCACCAGGTGGCTTTTAATCCGTCACTTGTGCTGATGACTAGATTTGGCTTTAAGAGCAATTTTTGTAAATTTTGTTCATCTATTTGCTGTGATTGTCATCTGCAGGTTTACTTTGTCGTCTTTGCTTGTTATCAGCTATGCGGGATCCTTCTTCTCTTTGGACATGTGCTAAAGCAGTTTTTGTTGTTTCTCCTGGTGATATTGTAGGATCCTGAAGCTAAGGCAATTAAAAACAAAGACGATGCTCAGACTAGTGAGCGGGAGGCAACTTTTGAAACTCTCAGTTTGTTGAAGGTACCATTTCTGATATCATAACCTTTTTCTTCTCAGCTGTGCTCTGTACTGTGGTTTCATTTCTTTAGGTCTTCCTCCTCTTTTCAGGATGGGGATCTGCTACATATTGGTGAAGTGGAGCTTAAGCAGCACCATACTCTGCACCCACCACGTTATAACGAGGGGTCACTGGTATATAACTCCTATCTCCTTTGTGTCAAAGTGTCTAAGATCCAGTTCCACACTATGTTTTCCCTCAATGTTGGCTCGTTTTGATCAGGCACGGTGAAATTAGTTTTCTATAGGTGAAAAGGAAAAAATATGGTTAGGAAGATGAGAAGAGGACATTTGCACAAATTTGTTTACCAAAAACGTTCCATGCCTTCTTGACTCTTTTATACTTTTTTTAAGCCCAAGACTATTAATCAGCTAGATAATGCTTCATATTTTAGTCTCCAGTAGTTCATTTTGGTTCCCGTTCAGCTAGATAATGCTTCACTGAAGTTTTCATACTACGCTTTTATTGTTCTTGAAGTTAAGCATTGATCTGAAAGAGTTCTCACTAATAGTAATTCATCTCTGATTTAGTAAAGATAGTAGCTTAGCATGAACTGACAGGGGTTTCTTTTGTATGAGTGCTGATTCTGGTGTTGCGCAGACATATTAGGCATGAACTTTTTTATTGTACTGCCGCCAAGCATCACAATACATAATTTGTTTAACATGTATTAATCTGTTTCAGATTAAAAAGCTCGAGGAGTTCGGAATAGGTAGACCCTCAACATATGCATCTATATTTAAGGTTTTACAGGTATGTGCTCGTGTTAAGAAACTGGCGGGTTTTTTTCTAGTGCTTCTGTTTCTTGCTCTAACGTCACCTAAAATTATCGACACCTTTTATTTTTTTTCACAGGACAGAAAGTACTTAACAGTAAAGAGCCGAGTACTGTATCCCGAATTCCGTGGGAGGATGGTACTTTCCCCGTTAATCGAGCTCACTAATTGATGATTTAGTAAACAAACCATTGAAGCATCTCTTTCTAACCTCTGTACTATCTTTCTAGGTTTCAGCTTTTCTTACCAACTACTTCACTGAGGTCACAGACTATAGTTTTACTGCTGATATGGAGACTGAGGTGGATATATAGTTTGTTCTGCACTCAACTCTCTATTAACTAGACAATTTCTGTATACTCCATAGATGTCTTACAATGTTGTAAGATGAGATACCCATTTTTTCCCTTACGATTGATTTTCCTTTCAGCTTGACAACGTTTCTGGTGGTGTAACTGAATGGAAAGGTCTCCTAAGAGACTACTGGACACGATTCAGCGCGTATTGTAAGCGTGTTGAAAATGTCCAAATCCAGCAGGTACTTTCTTAGAAGGATAGACTTTCTTTCTACAATTTTTTTGTTAGCTTCTTACATTATCATATTTATACAGGTGGAGAAAATGTTGGAAAAAAGATACGAGGACTTTTTGTTTTCTTCCCTTCCTGATCCCACTAGGACTTGCCCGAGGTCTGTATCCCTCTTTCCCTTTCACATAATTCAAAATAGAAATGTTAATCGATTTCAGGATAGAAGCATCTTGCTTTAATATTTTAAAGAAACACATGCTTTCATAACTGTCAGCCTATGGTAAAAATACTTTCACGTCTAGTATCGGCACACAATTTGGTAGAATCAAAATATGCAGTGATATACTGAGGGCACTAAATAAGAGAAAAAATTTACTTTTAGTTTGAACGTGTATGCTGATTCTTATTGGCTTTCTTTCCATATTTTAGTTGTTCGGAAGGTACCTTAATTTTCAAAATAAGTAAGTTTGCTTCCGGGTATTTCATTGCTTGCGATCAGTTCCCTTCATGCAAGTAAGTTGAATCTCTATCTTTTTACAGCTGAAATGTTTCCTCATGTATTCTTTCCTTCGTATTTTACGTATTTAACTTTTCTTAGTTTTTTATATATCCATTCATTATCATGGTCACTGATATTAATTTGAGCTATGTTGTTCAAATACAGGTTCATTGCTAAAACGCTTTATGGAGAGGATGAGGATGATGATGATCCTCCAAAAAATACCTGCGTAGAAGAGCCCAAATTGCTAGGCCTACATCCCAATACCAGTGAGAAGGTCCCGCTGTTCGAACCCTCTTCTGTTGACAAATTCTCTAAGAACTTCAATATTCTGAATCCATTTCCTTGTTCAGGTTATTTTAAAGTCCGGTCCCTATGGGCATTATGTACAGCTTGGTGAGGACAGAAAAGGGCACTTACCAAAACGAGCAAATGCGGCCCATGTATGTTGGAGTTTTTTCAATTTAAATAAACATTATATCTCTATGTTTCTCTTCTTACATAAATGGAGACATACTGAGTAAAAGTTCAGTTGCATCTGTGTGCTAGTAATGTCTTGGTAATATAATGCTTGGCTTTTCTTACCGAGAAACCTCTTGCAACCTTGTTTTTCAGATAAAGGATGTGAACACTATTACGCTTGAAGATGCTCTCGAATTATTACGCTATCCTCTGACACTGGTAAGACTGATATAAAGGTTTAATTTATTACGTTTCTGGTTGGGTTGTTTTAAAAGTGCTGATGACTTTGTTTGCTAATGTCTGACCAGGGAACCCACCCTGAAGATAAGCAGCCTGTGGTCTTGAAGCTTAGTAAATCTGGATTTACTGTTCGACATCGTCGCACTATGGCTACTGTTCCAAAGGTATAGTTATGTAATGTTTTATATGATGCCTCCTCAGAATATGATATAGTTAGAATAAGAGGAGCATTTTTTAGGAGTTGTTGGTCTTATACTTGATAAGGAAATGAGGTCTGGATCTGCATCCGTAATATGATAGGATCTATTGTTGTCTATCTTATGTCATGAGTTCAAAGCATTGTCGTTCATTTAAGATAATGTAACTTGTTACTTGGCAGAACATGGAACCAGGTGAGGTTACTTTAGAGAAAGCAATGAAGCTCTTGTCTGGCAAAAATGTGAGAATGTGTGGCAGACCCAAGAGGATCAAGCCAACAGTGGATGAGGAAGAGGAAGGAGATGAAGAAGTTGTTGAGGCGATGTAATCTTTAATTAGGGCCATACCTACTGAAGACGTAAAGAAATATTCGCCTACATCACTAAATTTGTATGTAAAAATTAGAAAGCAAATGAAAAAAATAGACAGTCTGCTAAGTTTCTATATATTCCTCAACTTAATCACCAATTCATCACTCATATCTTGAAACTTTTTTTTTATGATCACAACTTAATAAATAGCCATTACGTCTATATTTTTTTTCGATCTTTAAATTTTTGTCTATCCACACACTTAATCTTTTTTTCCTTTTTGCACGGTTCAGTCTTTAATCAACAACACTTGAGCGTTATTCTTGAATTTGCTTTTATATTAGAGATGGCAAGACGGAAATGTTTCATCTTTGAATTTCCTCCATCCTGATCTAGATGGTATGTTAGCTATAATCAGCTATACAAAATGAACACTTTCTAAATTTAAAAGACACTCTACGGCTTTATACGATGGGCATGCCAATTCAATTGCTCATGTCAGTTAGAGCATATATATACCTTCTAAGGTTAACTGTAACTTTCGGTGAAACATGGATTGCTGATTGCATTTAAATCCTATTCGTCTCTTTCTTATGTGCAGATCAATTTGTTCATCACAACAAACCTTGAGACTTCTGATGTTAATTGAGGCACTGCCATAGAAGTACCGCTCATCTGTTCCTGCAAATGGACATTGGAGAAGAAGGCATGAGAAAGGATTCGAGTTTGAAAATGCATATCTTTGTATGAGTTGTATCAGTTCTCACAACTTGGGGGAGGAAGTTTGACTATCGGTGGGGGAGGAAGTTGGTCCAGGGCTGTTGATAACTACTGCAGACTGAGTTGATTCTTCAGCAAGTGTTCTTAATCTGTTGAGCTCTGGCAAGATAACTTTGGAAAGATCAGGTCTGTCTTTTCGCCTTATCTCTGCACACTTAAGAGCCAACTTGGCAAACTCTGTAGTGTCTTCAACAGGCCAATCAGACACAGCTGGATCAAGCAAATCTTTCAAGTTCCCCTTCTCAAGGGCTCTTTCGACGTAATGAGTTAAACCCATGGGTGGTTTTCCTGTTATTAACTGCAGAAACATAATGCCGAGCGAATAAATGTCAGATTTCACACCAAGCATACCCGTCTGCTGATACTCTGGATCGATGTAGCAAAACGTGCCAGCAGTTGATGTCATGCGGTACTGCGTCACTGTGTTTGCAACGGATGGAGGGACCAGTCTAGCCAGGCCAACATCAGCAAGTTTGCTGACAAAGTTGCGGTCTAGTAAGATATTTGCCGGTTTGAGATCACGGTGAACCAGTGGTTCTGGTTTAGTCTGGTGGAGGAACAACAGTACAGTGCCAATCTCTGCAGCGATTCTAAACCTCGTTTGCCAAGAAAGGGGCGGGGTGTTTCCTTGTCTGAAAAGACGGTCTTCTAAGCTCCCATTGGCCATGAACTCATACACTAAACATCCACATTCTGGACATGCTCCAAGCAGAAGAACCATGTTAGGATGCCTCATGCAGCTTAACACTTCAACCTGTGTTTGATTGATAAGTAACACTTAAATAGAGTCAGATGCAAGAAAGATCCTGATGGATTTAAGGTTGTCTAGAGAGTTTGTTATGAAATTTCACCTCTTTCTGAAACTGTGACCTGCCTTGGGTTGCATCTGGACGCAAAGCTTTCACAGCCACAGGTGTGTGATCCAGATAACACTTATAGACAGGTCCATAACCGCCTTCTCCGATCTTGTATTTCTCATCAAAGTAATCTGTTGCATCCTCAATCTCTTCGATGGAGTACTTCCTGTATCTAACATCTGCGTGCGCTAAAGCATTGACGGCTTTTGTTTTCTCCTCAGATTCCATCAGTGCTTTCATTTCTGCACTGATTCTCTTTCGGGACTCTATTTCAGCAATCCTTTGAGCTGCTTCAATCGCTGCTTTGGATTTTGCTTTCTCCTTCTCTACAATGGCTAACGCGGCTTCTTCTGCATTCTTTGCCTCTTCGAGTTTCCGTTCTTCTTCCATCTTCCAGCGTTGAAGCTCCGTTGCCTGCAGGTTCAACAATTAAAATGAATTACAGTAAAATCAAAAGCACACCACCTTATTGTCATGGGAAGTATACCTTCTGTTTTGCTGTGAGCGCTTCCTTGCAAGCTGTACTGTACATTTCCATCGTTTGCTTCAGCTCCAGTTTAAGCCTCCTCATCTCAGCCTCTACATCAATATCCTAGTTTCCAAAACAAAAACACAATTCTCAAGCCATAAAAACGTCTTGCATACACTAGTAGGTTAAAGTATGCAAACCCACAAAAGATTCAGAAATCAGTCTTACCGCTACTTGCGAAGCAGATGAAAACCTATCAGTCTCAAAGGAGCCTGTTGAGAAAGCAGTTGGTGAGCTTATATCCATTGACCTCCGTCCGTTGGTCATTGACTCGAAGCTACCAGAGTCAATGTCTGAGAAATTTGATAGCCTTGGAGGAGGAGTCCGGTTTGGATCATAATTGTCATATAAGGAAGTACTGGAGTTCCGCTCAGTGCTTGGTCTTCCTGAGCTGATAAAAGATATGTCAGCATCCGGGAGTGATAGGTCTCCGTATGATCTCCCATTCAAGCCTCTTCTAGTGAATGGTGACCTGTTTCAACCAAGAATCTCCGTCGTCTTAAAGTCTATGGTCATGATTCCTGGAGCGTTTCAAATATAAAAAAAAAAACAAGAGAGATGTGTACCTGAAGGAATCTGATTGATCGTCAAGGGACCTGCGATGCTGAGACTCAAATGATTGTCTCTCAGCTACAAGAAACAAGAAAGGTTTCAGTATTTTTGCAGGAGAGTGACATGTGAAGAAGCACTAAGAAATTAAAGCCATTTCTGTTTTTCTAACCTCTTGTGTTAGTAGAAGGCAAAGGTGGATGTGGCTTTAAGCTATTCTGTTGAAGCTGGATACGCAATGGAGACACAGAAGGAGCAGTACGAGAGGCTATCCTCTTTGTTGAAAGCTTTCCTTTTGTTACCACATAAACCGAGCAGAAATCAGGTGCTGTCTTCGTAACAATTCCTGGAATATCTGTAGGTTTGTTGAACCTGCAGAGTTTTAACACCCAGTTGTTTTCATCTGATCCATCATTTGCGGTGAAAATTTCAAAGCAATACCGGAAAGAGAGAGAGATGAAACAAACCTGAGAAAGCCACCTTTTGAGGAGGAACCAATCACCAATACCTCAATAATGACCTGATTTGCATATTCTACTAAAGCTTTCGCCACATCTGAGTCCTCCAATAACACATCTTTGCATTGTATCTGAACACGTTCCATTTCCAAAGAAAGCACGTAGTAAGCGTAGGAAGAGACAGAGCAAATGTAAAACTGAGCTTGACTTTTAGTATATAAGATTAGAGAAACTCACATCTTTGCGTGAACAGAGGCAACGAAAAGGAAGGTACAACTGTTTGATAGAGCCTTCTGGTTCTCCACAAACCAAAGAAGAATCACTATTAATTTGGCTCGTCTCTGAAAAAAACCACAGAGACAAAACCCATAAGACACACATAAAAGAATAACAAGGAGCTAGAAACAGAGAATAAGAAGAAGAAGAAGAAGAAGAAGAAGAAGAAGAAGAAGAAGAAGAAGAAGAAGAAGAAGAAGAAGAAGAAGAAGAAGAAAGATTATTACTAGAGGGGTTTGAGTTAATAGAAGGGTTTGTTGACAGAGAGGAAGCCCGAGTCTTGACATGGACAAGAAGAACGGTTGAGCCTCTCTGCAACATATTATCGACAGCCCATTTCAGAGCATTTTGGCTGCTTTTGTCTCTGTCTATCGCCACAGCAACCAATCCATCCGTGCCAAATCCTCCTCCGTCTCTCTCCCTCCTGTTCCTCGCCATCCAAGTCTCTCTCTTTACTTATGAAATCCCTAAAAACAGAGGAAGGAATATGGAAGAGCACTATACAGAGAGATTTTTTGAAGCTTCAATGGACAAATATATTTCTTGCGTTCTTTAGGTTTTTGGGTTTGTTTCCTTACTAAAATCCTCTTGATTGTTATTCTTCCGTAATTTTGTAGGAATGGACAAAAGGTATGAAGAAGAGAGAAAGAGGTTCCTATAAAAATCCATCGACTCTGTTTCTCTCTCTCTGTTTTGTTTTGTGCGCTTCTCCTTCTTCCCCGCCACTCTTTACTCAAACTTCCCATCAAATTGTGTGTTATATATTTTACGCACAAACGATTTCTTTTCTTTTCACGCAAGAAATAAATACACATGTGTGTTATTAGAAGCAGAGTAAAAACCAAAATCAATAATAACTTCGACTTTCTTTTCAATCTATAGTTTACAGAATGTGAAAATAATATCTGGTTATTTTCCATAAATATCGAGTATACTTTGCCGATAAAAAAAAAAAGAAGAAGAAGATAATGTAATTTGTATAAGCAAAACTGCAAAACATCTACAATCTCCTATTCCTAACTGTGACTGAATATTTCTTGGAATAAAAATGAAGAATATAGGTGACTTAGTGTCTTCTTAACATAACAAATCTTGATGTTTAGCTAGTTACAAAATCTTTCAGACAAGTTCACTACGACTTTCTCTTTAGCTAAATTAACAATCATCCTTGTTCTTCCACACATGTAGGATGAAGATCATAATCGCAAGCATCGCAAGAAAACGCCCAAAACCTACCTTGCTTCTTACAGAAATCACACACATAAGCTCTCGCCATATCCAGCTTTAGCTCATGTTCATGTTTCTTATCTTTCACTTTCCTTGGAAACGAATCGCCTTCTTTCTTCAAACAAGCTTCTAACTCAACAATCCTAGATTCCGTGAACGGAAAACTCCTTGATCCATACAACGATACCATTTCTCTCGCATTTGTGCTCACCGTTTTCTCTTCAGGTCCTATGATGACCAATGCGGGTATGAGTTTGATGTTGAAGATTCTACAAAGATCTTGTCTTGTTCTGTCCTCATAAGGTATTGCAAGCCATGGCATGTTGCTCATGTTGATGTTGAACTCTCCCGAGTCTCTGTCTGTTGAAACCAAGATGACTTGGAAGGAGCCTTTTTCTGTGGTCGCAAGCTCATTGTACATATCTATGAGCTGAGAAGTGAAAGCTCGAAAAGGCGGACACCAGTGTGCACCAAAGTATAAACCTATGGTCTTGCCCACAAGCTTAGAAACTAGTACCTGCATATTTTTCATAGACATAATCATAAAGAATCATTTGATCAGACCAGATAGTTGAAGGTATTAAGTAAGTTATATTTTACCTTACTTCCATTTCTAGAAACAACGTAATTCCGGGATTCATGCGTAAGGAGTTTCACCAATTGTCCTCCAACGCGTTTGGAGTCATCGATGGCCTTGAGTTCTTCTTTCCTCCTTTTAGTGAAAGGATATGCTTCAGGACCATAGTCTTCAATTAGACCAATCACATCTTCAGCGACCAAGATTTCATCTGGATATAGAGGAACAAGTGACGGGATACGAGCAATCTTGTACTTGTCAGTTAATTTGTTGCGTAGGCCTAAACTGAAGGGAGCTGCAAGCCATGGCATGCACCAAAAGTGTTCATAGAATGAAGTCATATCGTGATCGAACGAGACAAAGATGACCTCGAGTTCTTCTCCTCGTTTCTGAAGACTCTCGTAGAGTCTTACCAGCTCTGGAGTGAAGTCCTTGCAAGGCCTGCACCAGTTTGCTGAGAAGAAGAGACAAATCGTTTTCCCGAGAATATATTCCAACGGCACCTGATTGAAGTGAGCTTATAGTTTAGTAAAAGATCCGAGTAAAGAAAATTCACATACCGCTTAAAACACGATTGGTACCTCTCCACTATGCGACAAAAGGAACTCAATCCCTTCAGCTGCTAGTATAGAGTATATCTCATCACTTCCGGGAAACTGGACTTGATAATCTGCTGATACTGCCATCTAAACTGCACAACCACTACGTTCTTTAGCCTTCTATTGTTCAGAAACTTAGATAACGAAACGTAAACAGTACGAGAAATGGACATGCTTCATCAAGAACAAGTGCCTTAGCCTTATTCTAACTCCAAAACGGCTCAAGCGATTCTAACTCTAAAGGATTATAAGGAAAAGAGCACATGGGTTATGTGATTTGGCACTTAGCCTTATTCTAACTCCTGAGTTTTGTCTGTCGATTAAAACCTCCCAAGTTCCATCTTAGATAATCAAACATACAGAAATATTAAGAGCAGTTTCAAAACATCGGAAACCCAGAACAAAACTTGAAGGAACATACAACTGATAAAACTGAAACATAAACCATCTATAACAGGTTTTACAGACGATGAACTGTAATTCAGAAGACCTGTTGAGAAAAATTAGCAAGCGAAACTCAACGTACCTGATACCAGGGAGATAGTGATACGAGGAAACTACACAGAAACAAATTTCAATACAGAGTCAATTGTTGTTGATTTTCTTCTCGGTTGATCAAGCTTGTAAATTCCAAGAAAAGGGGATAAAGAAAAATCACATGGGGACAAGAAAATTAATATAGAAAAGGATATAATTTTTATTAAAGTCTCTATCAAACGAACAAGTGAATAAGTAAATCAAAATATCCTCAAAGCATATACCATCTGAAACGTTACCCAATAGCCAAAGCAAGAAGCTTGTAAAACCAATAAATTAATATTCTTGCTTATCTCAAGCAGTGCATCAGAAAGTGGACAAGTTGACGAAGAAATGGACATAAAAAGACATTCTTTTGCGTCTAGATGATACCAAACGAGGGCACCAATATTCACAAGATGGGGAAGAAAAGACAAAAGCTGAAATTTAAAAAATCAATTAAAGAAACAAAAGCGTGAAGCTTTTACTCATCAACCATAACTAAGAAAAGAATTGAATGAAAAGTGATCGTCTTAACCTACAGACAGAGACATGAAACTTGATCAACAAATATCAAGATTTAGCTGAAGAAGAAGACTACTGAGGACCAGAGAGAGAGAGAGAGAGAGAGAGAGGCCTTCAATGGAAGCTATTGCATGAGCGAGAACTCCTCAGTCATGGCTCTTGAAGAACGATGATCACCTTCACTAGCAGTCACGTATGAAGATCGAACACTCTCTTGACCTCCACCTGCATCTTTTTCGACTTCTTCTATTCGATCAACAGCCTCGTGAAGCTCAATTCTCCTCTCTATGTCCCAATCACAGCATCTCAACCCAATCTTGAGCAGCTTCAACATTTGCCCTTCGTGTTCTTTCCCTGCTTTCATCTCCTTATCGAACACATCAGCTGTCCACTCCGTTCTCGCTACAGACTCAACCCAAGCAGCTAGCTCGTCATCAGCTCCTTTCCCTTGCCGGAGATAGTTCGCCGGAAACTTCCCCGTCAGAATCTCGAGGATTAAGATCCCAAGGCTCCACACATCGGACTTTCTCGAGGTCCGGTCTTGCTGAGTGAACTCTGGAGCCTTGTAAGCCACCATGAACTGCTGCGATTGTTCCTTGTTCACCACCGGCACGAGAGCGTAGTCCGTTAGTAGTGGCTCGAAGTCATGGTCAAGCAACACATTGGAAGATTTGAGATGGCCGTGAGGGAGATTCAAATCCGGGAATACTCTGTATAGATAAGCCAAACCTCTCGTAACTCCCCTTACAATCTTCAACCGGATCGGCCAGTCCAAAACCACCTGACCTGGTTTCCGATTTGCTGCAAAAAAAAAAAAAAATCATCAGATTCGTCGAAAAATCATAAGATGAAGATGAACACTAGAGAGTTAAATTGATTTTACCATGGAGGAGATTCGCAAGACTTCCATTAGGAATGTAATTGGTAACGAGAAGCTTCTCCTCTTTCCTGTAATAGAAGGCGATCAATGGAAGGAGATTAGGGTGAGACAATCGTCCGATCTTCTTCATATGATCGTAAAACTCTTCTCTCCCGATATTGCTCATGAACCTAAACCGCTTCACAACCACCGCACGGCCGCTCGATAAAGCCGCCTTATACGAAGATCCAAATCCGCCGCTTCCGAGAACCTCCGCCGATGCACGGAGCATATCCTGGAGCGTGAATTTCTCCTGATCATTCCTAACGAAATGAAGCTTCCGTTGATCTCCTCGCTTGTCTTCGTCTTGAGACTGAACTCCCTCGGATAATGATGCTGTAGCTGCTGAATCTCGCTGCACACTTTCATTGGCTAGTTTCCTGTAGACCTTGGAGTCCAGCGAGCTTTTCTCGCTCTGTTGCTCGGTTGGTCCGTAGACTTGGCCGAGGCCGTATCCGTCGTCGCGGCTGCTCCTACGGTCTTGACGACGGCCGAGGATGCAGACGGAGAGAAAGACGGTAATGAGGACAATGACGGCGAGGATGGTGAGTGCAAGGAGAAACACCGTTAGTAACGGCGGACGAGTGTATCTGCACGGGAGCAAAGGCGGCCCACACAACCCCTTGTTACCTGTTTTAGACCCATACGAATTATTGAAATTGTGAGATCTTACGTAGCCCAATTTTATACAGGCCCACTAAGAATTTAGCAAACAAACCGAATTTAACCACTAACTGTATAATCAAAATTACTTTTTTTTTTTTTTTTAAATCAAATTTACTTTGGATTGGGAAACGAGTACTAATATGTTAATTTGATATTATTATTTTTTTGTCGGAATGTTAATTTGATTTATCCCGGAAAAATATGTAAATATGTATTATTGTTCTTAAGTATTTTTTTTTGTTTTTGATTCCTAACAGTAAACTAATCATTTCCATGGAAAACTCAAACGTGTCTAACGTGCTCACTACTCACAAAAAGTGTTCAAACTTTCCAATGGATAGTGATAACTATAGGCTTTGTAGCAGTTAATTCTTTAGGCAAAAATGACTACATATATGGATAAAGATTTACATGTCCGATTGATGGTTATAAAAGTAAGTTGCATGTTTATGCATCAGATTATATATGTGGAAGATGATCATGATTATAATATTTTTTCCAAAAACAAAAAAAAAAATGATGATGATGTGACGATAATCACCTGAAAAGAAAGTGGAGTTCATGAGGCCGAGAGTAAACGGAATTCGACCCTCTAATCGATTATTAGCAACGTTAACGGTAACGAGATTCTTCTGTTTAAACGCCGGTATTTTCCCGGTGAACATATTATCCTCGAGATTCAGCTCAATCAGCTTCGGCAATTTCCCCAACGACTCCGGAATCTCACCGGAAAACCGGTTTCCTTCAAGATGAACTTTCACCAGAGCCTTCATTCCGTCAAACAAATCACCGTCGATCTCGCCGGAAAACCGGTTATGCGCCAGGTAAAGATGAACCAGCGATACAAGCCCGTCGATTCCACGTGGCATCGTCCCCTCGAAATCATTACGCATAAAGCTGACGCTCTTGAGCCCGCGCAAGGACCCGAGCGCTTGCACGTCAAGCTCGCCGGAGAGACTCATGTTCTCTAGACGGAGACCGAAAACGATGCCGTTCCAGCACATCACTCCTTTCCATTTGGAATCGCTTCCTTTTGCCCCGGAGCAAGGTGGCTCGCCGGAATCCCATCCGCTTAGCGCTGTGGCGTTCAAAAGAGATGACTTGAACTTCAAAAGAGCATCCGCGTCACCGTCGCCGGAGATGGGAACGGCGAAGCAGATGGCTAGTAACAACAGAGAGTACACGATCGGGGGTTTGTCATCGCGGATCATTTGGATCGCCGGAGCGAGGTTTGGTGATTAAACAAATCCAAATTGGGTTTCAAGAGGAAGAAGGGAGATATATGTCGGAATTATTGTTTGAATTAATCAAATGAGATGAGGTTTTTGGCCGGAAGAAAAATGAAAGTGGACGGCTGATGGTGAAATGACAGCAAAGGTCAAGCACAATCGTTTTCTCTCTTGGAGAGCTCCAAGAACGTGGAACCAACTAAGTCTAAAGCTTGGATGGTTTACTCACAATTTTGTACTAACTGCCTTGATTACGTGTTTCTAACGTTTAGTTTAGTTTTACTTGATTATCTTAAAAGTCTTATTCTTACCATTTTTTTTTTGTAATAAAATCTTTGTAAAGATTACATGAAAGTTAATGGTCTTCATTATGTTGTCAGAATCATATATGAATTGTACAAATTCCAATTGCTTCACACTTTTAGATACATGACATCGTAATCTCTCTAAAAAAATCTGACCCGCCGATTAATTGTAGTGGCTAATGGAATTTGTTAGAATATACTTGATGATATACGTTGTATGATCTATTGAGGTATCGTCACAAGTAGCCAGTTGGCTTTTCTAATTAAATAGATACTCAATCCAATGACAGTGTACTTCTTCAATGTGTTTCATAAGATACACACCCATAAAAAATTGAAGGACATTGTATTTACGCATGGCTTCAAAATACATTCAATAGATTTGAATTGGTTGACGAAAAACAAAAAGATTTGAATTGATTGGAATCTGCTACTAGTAACAACTATATATAAATACATTCTATGAAATCAGCAAGTAAGACTCCATGGCCCAATGGATAAGGCGCTGGTCTACGAAACCAGAGACTCTGGGTTCGATCCCCAGTGGAGTCGATTTTTTAAACCTCCTTTTTGATACACTACAATATTACATGGTTAGAAAAACTCCAACGAAGAAAATGCCTTCACATTTACAGCTGAAAGTTATTCTATTTCTTGTGGAACTTCACGGAGCTTATTAAGGGTATTAACAATTTCACTCAAACAAACGATTAGTTCCTCTCCTTGCTGTCTCACAAACTTCATTTTGTCGCTAATGCTAATATCATCCCCTGTTTCACTACCCTTGGCTAGATTTCTTCCGACTATTGCATGTATCAAGTCAGCTTTCTCTCCTAGCTTCGCTTCCATCGCTTCGACCTCCTTTTCTATGTTCATCGTTTCCTCCTCTTCTATGCTCATCGTATCCTCCTCTCCTTCACCAGTGGAGATTTCTTCCACCGGCTTCTTCTCTTCCATGGGTTTCTTCTGATTGGTTGCTTTTGCACGTTGCTCCTTAGTTTTATCCAGAACTCGGTTCCTCCGTGGCTCCGCGTCCGTCTTTGTCTTATGTGGCGGATTCTCCTTCATGACGAGCAAGGTTCGCTGTCTTGACCTTTTTGATCCTACAAATGCTGAGTTTCACAAGCGAGCAATTTGAGGATTTAGCAATAGCGTAAAAGGTTAGAGATTCTTGATTGACCCGGGGTGCTACTAGCCTACTACAAATGGAAAGGTTCATTCCATTAACTAAAGATGGTGACCGAGAAAACAGCAGTATGTGCAAGAAATCATATTGTAGCCCACTATAGAGCTTACCGTAGCAGGGGATCCACAGTAGAGTAGAGTGTCACACAAAACTATGCCTTATAAACTATAACGACAATATTCATCATTCTATATCTTAAAGTACAGAATAAGTCTGTCGCAATTTGTTCTTTAAAGTCCTAAGAAAGCCAAGAGTTCAACAAGGGACCAAAGAAGAATAGAGTTATGTACCTAATTCCGCAGAGACATCAAGAACGTCATAGCCTTCTTGCGCTTCCGGGTCACTATCAGGTTCAGTCCCGGCTTTGTCCTCTTGGAGCATCACAACAGCATTGATGGCTTCAAAAAGCTCGTTATCGATATTCCCTGGGAGATTCAACTTCTTCCTCTTCTCAGTACTCAGGGACCAATACGAATGGCCACCGCCTCGGCCCTGAGACTCCCACTTCTTGATCTGATTGTAATCAGACACCAACGAATCCCATTTCCTCCTGCACTGGTTCAGAGTCCTGTGCACATCCAAAGCGTTACAGTTCTCTGAGATGATTGTCCATTTCTGGAAGCTGGATAAAGCATTCGAACAATCCGCTTCAACCGCAGCGATCTCGTTCACAAGAATCAGACAGTCTTTCACAGTCCAGTCCGGAGCAACCTGAGACCGCGTTCTCCGTGAACCAGAAGTGCCTTCGTCCATCTAATTAATTCACTGCAACTTTGGTTTATTATGAAGCTCGTGAGTATCATCATCAGTTAGACAGCTACACATTGCAACATAGTTGTGAACTGAAACATTAAACAGTGAGATCCATAAATTTTAACAACCGGGAGTTTAAGCTGTTTCGATCTTACAGTTTTGCATGAATCTGACTGAGAATGGAAAACTTTAATAATGTTACGATTATAAATTCAGGAATTGAACTCAGACAAATGAAACAAAAAAATTCATTTCCTAGAATGCAACCCGGTTATCGAATTTGAGGAATAATAACTCGGCACCACGCAAATCTGACACGGAAAATTCGAACAAGAATCCAAATTTATACGATGAATTATAAACTAGAGAATGGAGAGAACTTTGAGCATCGAAAATTCAGTTGAGATGAGCATTACCGGATGGATCGTGAAGAACGGCTTCTGGGGAACGACACGTCGAGAGCCAGCAAGTTACTGTGATCCGACGACGAGAAAGGAAGTAAGAGATCTTGTTTTAATGAAGCCGAAAAGCCCATCTATTAGCTGTGCTGTCCACAGGCCCAAACAATTTTTATAATTTGGATATAAAGAGAAAAAATATTTAAAAAAGCAGTTCATTTCTTTTTGTTTCTCATATTTAGAATAGTTTTTTGTTTGAGTTTGGACTACAATTTTCATTTAACTTATGGAATCAACTCGTCGACAAAAAAAAAAAATGGAATCAACTCGTTTTGAATTTTTTTTATTAGTTATGGTTAGATCAATTCATATGATTTTACTATTATCATTTTACCGGTATTCCAAAAACTACGACGTGTATTTTTCACAGAATAATCAGCTCAAAACGTTTTATCCACAACACAGTTTGAAGAAATATATATTTCATTGTCTCAAATTTAGTATGTGAAAAATCAAAGACGGAATCGTGTGAAAAAAGATCTGGTTTTTAGCATTCTCGGTAGCGTGTAATTCGTGAACAAGCAGTATTTAGCCCATTGTTTATTGGAATAAGTTAGTTTTATTTACCTTAGTTAAGCCCCCAAAATATAAACAATTCTTTTATGTATTAGAATAGTGACGTTGGTCATGTATGCATCTACGTTTCTGTAACAAATACATTCTGACTTTGTGGTTTGTGGTTTTGATTGTCTTTGTTTACCTCAAAGATCAAAGCTTTTTTTATATTATATAGTTTTTAAACCTTTTGTCTTCAGAATTAACAATAGAGAAATTCTTTGAAATTTGTCATTTTGTAAAAATTTCTAAACGTATATCTATCGTTTCGAAAAAAATTGCATCAATCTATGTCAGGAAAATATTTTGATTATATTCTGGAGATATGGTTCCCATTTTTTTTTAAAAAAAAAGAAATCAATTTCAATTAAGAGCATAAATTAGATTCCTTTGTTTATTGAGAAGAAAGATATTTTTTGGAAAGGGCAGAAACAAGCGTCTTCACCGGTCAGTCACGTGACGGATGGACCGCGGAACAGACAATTAATCAGATGAACTTGAAACAACATGCGTGGCATGATCACGCGGTTCTGTCTCTCTATAAATGTTCTTCTTCCTCCTCATCGTCTCCTCCTCCTCATTTTAATACACCTCGAAAGCAGAGACAAAGAAGCGAGAACGAGAGAGAGATTCAGAGAAAGGAGAGGGAGAAAGGAGGGAGAAAGGAGCTGAGTGGTCTCATTACCAGTACTAGCTCCCTACGAACTGAAACGGCGCCGTTCCCTCAAATATCCTCTGCAATCTCTCCTCCCACGAGTTCCTCATCTTTTCTCGGGTTGTAATTCATCTAATTACGAGAGGTGATTTTGTGTTACGGTGGGATTGAGTTTTTCTCTTCACGAAGATCGTGCCCGAGAGGTAAAGTTTTGATTTTTGATTTTTTTTCCTATTTTCCTTCCGCATTTCGGTTTAGGTAGCTTATGCTGCATCCTCTCAGCGATTTTTCTATCTGGTGAAACTTTATGTTTAGTGTAACCGGGAGGAAGTATTCTTACTGTTTGATTATGATTATTTCATCAAATCTGTATAGAAAAAGTTAAGCCCTTTGTTTCTTATTTTTTTTCTAGAATTTGGGAGTACATGTCTACTAGGTTTTGTCTTTGTCCCAAAAGTTTGGCGATTCGTGTCCTTTACCTGCATTAGTCTGCCATAGAAACTAATAAGCTACCTAGAAAACTTTTCCTCTTTCAAATTGAAACAAAGAAGATTTGGGTCTTAATTTTGTCTGAGCTGTCCTGAAGAGAACCCAAAAACTGAGCTTATCTATTGACATGTGAAGCTGAAGTAAAAACTGGAACGCTGGTCCACTCGTGATTTTGTCTTAATTGCACATGTGTTCTTTTAGCTCTTGTCTTGTCTTTATGTGCTGTACCTTTTTTCTCCAGCATTTACCATCCAGAAAATCATGATTTGTATGTATCTTAATCATAGAAATTCTCTTTTGATGGTTTACAGCATTTAACTTCAGAAAATGGTGATGTGGGTCTTTGGCTATGGCTCTCTAGTGTGGAACCCAGGATTTCACTACGATGAGAAAGTGTTGGGTTTCATCAAGGGATATAAACGTGTCTTTGACCTTGGTAACGCATTTTTCTTTTGTTAAGAATTAAATTTGTCCTTTTGCTTATCTGATTGAAAATATATTTTTTTTATTACCAACTATTGATGATTGATTGATTTTTTTTTTTTGTGTTTGATGTGATTTGCTAGCTTGCATTGATCATAGAGGTACACCAGAACACCCTGCAAGAACTTGCACACTCGAGAAAGCTGAAGAAGCCATATGCGTATGTGGAATTTCTTACCTCTCGATATGATTGAGTTTTGTTAGACTCTGGTCATGAGATTTAGTTTAGTTTACTCATAACCAATCCAACATTTTCTTGACAGTGGGGTACTGCATTCTGTGTCCGTGGGGGACCAGAAGAAGAACGTCTGGCTATGGAGGTATGTACTTGCATCTAAAACTAGATTGCTTCATGTATCGTGCTCATGCCTTTGTTTTATACATTTTATCCATGCACAGTACTTGGAACGTAGAGAGTGTGAATATGACCACAAGACATGTGTAGACTTTTACAAGGTGAGTCATGACAATGTCTGACTCTATTGAATAAGCATGTTCTCTTACACTTCTAAAAATTGACCTTAAAAGTATTTTTTATGAACTTACACAGGAAGATGATCCCCTTAAGCCAGCTGTAACTGGAGTGATAGTGTAAGTTTTCTCTTTTGTTTTCTACTACAACTCTCCTTGAGAGTGGTGCTTTGTCTTTTGCTTTCTTCGACAAGTCTTTGTATGATGATTTGATATGGATGCATTTGTTTACAATCTTCAGATTCACTTCTACTCCAGACAAGGTCTCCAACAAGTATTACCTTGGACCTGCGCCATTAGAAGACATGGCAAGGTCATTATTAAGCCTCCACACCAATTTCTTCTGTTCCTTTTTCAATTTATATTCCAGATTCTTATCCTCACACTAGCTTGTTGTTTTTATGTATATTCAAAGACAAATCGCGACAGCCAATGGACCATGTGGTAACAACAGAGATTATCTCTTCCTGCTCGAGAAGGCAATGCACGACATAGGTTAGTCCAGCCAGATCTCCCTTTTTTTACAACATGATTAGGAATTACGGGTTGGGGAGGTTTGAATTTGAGAAAATTTTGAAGTCTTTACCTGAATAAAACTTTGATTATCACTTTTCATAAACAACATCTGCTCAAGCTTTGTAGTCTATTCTGAGTCAAAGGTTCTGACCTTGAAGGTTTTAAAAGACAAGGCATTGTTTTCTTCTTTTCTTTATAAGCCAAGTTTTTGTTTTGTTTTACAATTTACACAGGGCATGAGGAGGAGTATGTTATAGAGCTGGCGAACGAGGTGAGGAAAGTTCTCGCTGAGTCCTCGCCGAAGAAGTTGACACCGGTGAAAGAATCAAGAGGGAGCCGTATGGCTAACAAGTCCAAGGGCAATGTACCTACGGCTCATCAGATGCTTCCTCGTCATCCAGAAGCTGTTGCCACTACGATATAACTCTTGCAGTTGTCTTTTTATTGGCTTTAGAGAGAGGCTATATGATTTTGGGAAAGCAGATCGTTTTGCATTTTTTTAAACTAAGTTTGTTTGTTTTCTGAGTACAAGTGTAATGGTTTTGTGTTTGCAACTCTGTTGTCTTCTGTGTTTCCTAATGAGTGCTAGTTATGTTATGCTTCTGCCTCTGCAGCCCCTTTTAATAAATTCCAGTTCTTGCATATTAAGGGAAGATGTATTTGGTTACTTTAATAAACTAGTCATCAATCGACTATCCACGACAAAGGATAAAAAAAGTCATCAAAGAGAAAAAAACTTAGACTAAGAAATATGCAAAGGCAATTAGGCAATCATGAGAGATGTCAAAATTCTTAACAAAATGATTTCTTCAAAATGCCATAAAAAATAAAAAAAAATATATACAGTTTCTTCAAAAGTTTGGGTTTTGAGTAAGTCTTGGGCTTGTAATTAAAACGTCTAGAAGGACAATTAGGTGTTGGGCACTTGGGCTTTTGACATAAATTACGTTTCTATCTTGGCCTGATATAATATACTATCCAAAAAAAGTAATAATAACAGAGAAGAACCCGACTTGGGGTATAAGCCAGTTCTTCTTCTTTTTTCACGCTTCTCATCAGTCATCACCGTAATCTGTATTATTCACGAAATTTGAACTCAAAGATTCTTTACATTCAGTACAAGCTTCGAATTCGACAGCGATGGATCTCAATCTCGATGCGCCGCACTCCATGGGAACGACTATCATCGGCGTCACTTACAATGGAGGTGTCGTCCTCGGAGCCGACTCTCGTACCAGCACCGGTTAGATTTCTCTTCTCTACTCTTCTAGGTTTTCTTCTTGTTCGTTGGGTTTGTCTTTGAGCTTTGCTTTCGTTTCAATCGAAACGGAGAATAAGCGTATTTCTGTTTGGGATTTTTTTTGAGAAAGCTAATGGAATTGGGATCTGTAATTTACTCGCGCAGGGATGTACGTAGCGAATCGGGCTTCAGATAAGATCACACAACTCACCGACAATGTCTACGTGTGTCGCTCTGGATCGGTAATCTCTCGTTTTTTTTTTTTTGTGAAGTCTACTTAGGGATTTCGTTTTGTTTGATCCGTTCTGTGGAAAGTCTTTTGCCTGCTAGACTTCTTACTCAGATGTTCATTATTGGGTTTTAGTGATTTCCACTGGCTCTTCTTGAAACTCTTATTGTTCATTATTAGCTTGCAAATGGGTTATGTGACTGCATTTTACTGATTACCACAAGCTCTTGTTTTACTTTATGCAGGCTGCTGATTCTCAGGTTGTCTCGGACTATGTCCGCTACTTCCTTCACCAGCACACGTGAGTGTTTCATTCTTTTCTTGATTCAACGTAATTTACATGACTTGAAACTTATGCTTTCTTATTTATCTGAAGATGGATTCATTCGTTTGCTTATGGTTTGCAGAATTCAGCTGGGACAGCCTGCGACTGTAAAGGTTTCGGCCAACCTCATTAGGATGCTCGCGTATAACAACAAGGTACAAGCTTTGCTTTTACGCTTGCAGTTTCTTTGGTTGTTTTACCAGAAACTTTAACCCAGAATAGTGGGCAATGTGGGATTGATGTTACATGTCAAACCTGGTATGAATCTCCTGTTGTCCGTAGTGTGGTTGTACTTGTACCTTGTAATGGCTGTCCTCTAGTCTGAAGAACGGGAATTTTAAATGGAAATGTAGAAAGTCTAAACTACTACTGTATCCAATCCTCAAGAAGTATGTATTCTATTGTATACGTTCTCGGTTTTGTGTACTCTGAGTCATATCTATTCATGTTGTTAACAGAGATGCTTATCCAGTGCGTTATTGTTTTGTTTGTTCCTTGTTTTGATTATTTGTATTTGTTGACTGAATCATCGTATGTCTTTGTTGGGCAGAACATGCTGCAAACTGGCCTCATAGTTGGTGGCTGGGATAAGTATGAAGGCGGGAAGATCTACGGGATTCCACTTGGTGGAACTGTAGTGGAGCAACCGTTTGCTATTGGAGGTAAAAACCAGATTGTTCTGTGTCTTATGATCTTTGGGTTTTAAGCATAGCTGTTTTCGATTAAGTTTCTCTTTGCTATTTGCTTATATGATACTTAGCTTTCCTGCTAATAACTAGTTGAATTGTGTGTGTTTGTGTAGGCTCTGGCTCGAGTTACCTTTACGGGTTCTTTGATCAGGCTTGGAAAGAAAACATGACCAAAGAAGAAGCCGAGGTAAGGCTGTTCAGATCATTATGTCTGCTTATGCAAAACTCTTAGAAGCCCCATTTACTGTAACTCATCCGTGCCATTGTGTTTGCGCTGTGTGTTGCGCAGCAACTTGTTGTCAAGGCGGTTTCACTAGCCATCGCCCGTGATGGAGCCAGTGGAGGCGTCGTACGGACTGTCATAGTAAGATATCTTCTCTGGCCAAAACTCTCTTAAGCGAGACTTGTATAACCTCTCTAATGGGAACTCGGTTAACAAACTGGTTTTGATGTTTTTTTTTAACAGATCAACTCAGAGGGAGTGACGAGAAATTTCTACCCTGGGGATAAGTTGCAGCTTTGGCACGAGGAGCTAGAGCCACAGAACTCTCTACTGGATATCCTCAACGCTGCTGGTCCTGAACCAATGGCCATGTGATGCAAACAATCATCACTATCTTACTCTGTTAAACAACCGTTTTTAGATATTTTTCATTACATTTACCGATGTCTTTTAAGACCAAGACTCTAAACTCTGTTTGAGGTTCTTTTGTACTTGACCTTTTAATGGATATCATGTTTGCTATGATTATGGTGTTAATTCCTCCTCATTTCTCTAAATTAATTTAGTAGAAATCTTGCTATCTTTGCTATGATTTTCCGAATCACAGAACAAAACTCCCAAAAATTTTATTGTTAATAAAAGCATATTAATCAAAATAAGATTTACTGGGCTTCGCATGCTTGACACGTGGCCGGACAATGTACACAACAACTTCGATCTGTTAGGCACAGACGCAGGAACCGGACAGAGTCGGAGAGACAGAGGAAGATGAGTATGTTGTCAGGGAAAGCTGGTCACGAGCTCTTTGTCTATGGCAGTCTCCAGGATCCCGACGTCCTTTACGTGCTTCTTAACCGCGTCCCTGACCGTGTCTCCGCCGTACTCTCCGGCTTGTGCGTCTATCTCTCTCTCTCTCTCACTCACTCAATCTGTCGTTCGTTTTTTGGATCCAATTAAAGAGGTTGATTAACTGCGATTTTGGGATTTTTACAGTCACAGGTTTAGACTCAAAAATCGTGTTTATCCAACTATTGTACCGGACGGTACAGGAGAAGTCTCCGGAAAGGTTCAGTAAATTATCCCTGATTCCCTTTTCACATTCGTCTCTTTGTATGGTAGAGAATGATGGAACATTAGGACAAGAGTTTGAAAGACAACCAACCGTTTAAGGCCATTGTTCTTTCTTTGAGGAATTTTCGAGATTCTTGCAGGTGCTAAAGGGCATAACAGATGATGAACTGAAGTTGTTAGATGAGTTTGAGGATGTTGAATATGTCAGAAAGGCTGTTCATGTGGTGCTGAAGGTAATTACCTTTTTTGAACGGAACTACCAATTTATTTACTTACATCTCTGGTTTTTTGGTTATGTTAAGATTAGACTCTGATATAAACCTCTTGGTGCGGTTTCATTTGCAGGATAATTCAGAGAAGCTTCAAGTCGAAACATATGTATGGAGGAACAAAGATGATCCGGATCTATATGGCGAATGGGATTTCGAGGTGAGAATTCTTACTATTATATCTTTCCTTGTTGCTTTTGGAATGTGAAATCTTTAGAACAATATTCAACTGTGTTAGGAATGGAAACGACATGACAAGGACGATTTCGTAACCGCGACAAAGAAGTTTCTGGAAGGGAGGAAATTACCAGAAGCAAAGACGAGGATCGACACATTCACAACATTCTTTAAGCAGGAGACTGAAAACGGGAAACATCTGGATTCTTGATTCTTGATGCTCTCTCTGATCTAGTTGTGACTTTTGGTTCTTACAGTTACATTATAGTGAGGCCATTGCTTCACCTGAAATAGGATTCTGGAACAATGCTTCTTGGGAAATTATGTAAGAAAGACAAACTCATGAATCTTGTGATACTACAACAATGACATGACTTGGCTTGCATGATCATGTTCAGATGAACTCTTATTATTAGTTTCTTTCAATGCTTGTCTCTATATTGATGATGTCTGTGTTCATGTGAAATGCTTCCCTGGCTTTTGGTCAAATTGGTGGTGACTGTCTATATTGAGTAATAATAATGCCTCGGAAAACAAAACAAAAAACTTTTCCCTTGTGTCTCTATTAACTGTATTTTGGCTCATAACTTTAAAGAAGAATCTGTTTAAATCAGTAAACTATGAGTCAAGGACGTACAGTCACAACGGTTTTCAAGTTTTCGAGGCGTATGGTTTGTTCATGCTATATTTCCTGCTGGATCTTGCTGTCTTTTAAAAGAACCTGCAATTTCCTCTAGTTGCTCATATATATAATCACTATTCAGTAACCTCGAGATCAGGTTCAGGAGATAGTTACACATGCATGTATTATTGGCTCATTGCTTTATATGGTGGTAAGTCTCAGGGTGCAGATATCATGTGGCTTTTCCGTTTTATCAGATCTCACTGCTTAAGCTTTGACTTTGACCATGAGAGAGAACATCATATCACTCCAAGAATACCTCCTGCTCTCTCTCTCTCTCGATTTTTGTTTGATTTTGGGAGGATACCAAGATCATTCCTTTTGATCTTGCCGTACTCTTGTTGAAGGTGAATCGTTAATTAATTGCATGTGAGTTCAATAATGAGGGGGTACTTAGTTTAGAAAATGTGTCTGTGATGCTGTGACTTTGTTATAATATTCACTAATTAAGATACTTATTATAGCATAGGATGCTGTACGTTTGTTAATCTAAATAGGTTAACAACCCACTGTCTCCACTTGATGATTAAAAAGTACAATGCCGTAGGTACTCATCTTTTGATGGCTAATTACTCTATTAGTTTAAGTCTCTGATTACTTGGCATAACTGCACATCAATACACATGGGTAGTTACCGGAAAAAATAAATATACATAGATAAAAACATGAACCTTTTGCTTTTTTATTTTATTTATTATGATAACAAGGTCTGCTAAGCCTAACCATGGGACCTAAAACTGCCATATGAATACCAGTGTAACTTAAGCCAATATAAAACTTCCATAAGGACAAATGCAGATGTTTAAAAATGAAACTAGACTCTGTAGCTGATTTTGTTTAGATGTTTGTGATTATTCATATTCTTAGACTACGCATGTGATGTGATACATTGTCTACATCTTCATTTGTACGGTGTTATCCGCTTAGATGAAGTATTGACTTTTATGATATATCAAAGTAACAGATTTCTGGAATTTGCATAGAATGGAAAAGAGATGGTGAAAGACGGAGATTGTATTGTGTATTTGCCTTCTCACATTTATGTTTGAAGTTTCAACCAAAGAGGATTGAGCAAGAAGTTCCTTGATACAATTTAGGAAAAAGAAAGAAAAAAAAAAAGAGAGAGAGAAGAGATTGTCATGTTTTCAATCTGTTTCAAAGATCCGTTTGTACATTCCATTATTCAAAAATATCTGTCTCACATTCTTTTTCTCTTTGAAGTTGCAGAGTACACAAGTCCAAATCCCCAAGGGAAAAAGTGGGAACATGGGGAAGAGGAAGAAGAATGGTTCAAAGCAACAAGCAAAATCAACACACACACACACACAAAAAAACTATCTGCACATTGGGCTGTGAGGTTGGTGTGATGGAGTCCTAGGGCAATCCGAAGGATGGCGATAACTCATCACTTCCTCAGTCGTGGCATTGAACCTGCACTCCTGTGTGGTCAGGCACGCATCATTCTTGTTGTCCTCCATTATCTTCAAAATGGTCTCGAACACAGCAACTTCGCAAGGAATCCTCAACACACCAGCTTGTTGAAACCCAAACTCTTCTTCTGCTTCACGCAACAGCGCGTGGAAAGCTTGGTGGCTAAGGTACTCCGTTGGTATCTTGTATCTCTTCTCCTCCTTCCCCACCGAGACAGCTAAGTAGCCTTTGGGAACAGCTGTTACATCTGTGAAGGATAGTGTCCTCTTCAGAAACTTGATGCTCTTACTTGCACTTCCACTTCCACTTCCATTTTTGTTGATGGTGTTGCTTTCTTCTTCGTTGTGATCAGCCTTGTTGTCCTTGGCTTGTTTTGATGCGTGTGCGACTTTTCGCCATTTCTTCAGGATCTGTTGAAGCTTTACGATCTCTCTGATTTTGTTTGACTTCTTGGCTTCCATGGAAACAGAAGAAGATTTTGGCTCTGTTCTTTGTGTTTGTATCTCTGTGTGTTGTGTGATGATTGAGACATGGTGGGTTTTGGAGATTAGGGAGATATATAGAGGTGTTGATGACATTTGGGAATCTTGTTTTTATTATTTTACTGATTAATTTTTTCAAAATTTTTAAGTGTTTAAAATATTTAACTAATCATATGCTTTTGGTTTTCTTAATACCCCAACTTGAAATACTCACAGTTGGGGGGTTATTTCTTCTAGTTTGACCTTCTCTTAACTTAAGTTGTCATTAAGGCCATGTTTGTTTATGCTTTGGGGATTGCGTTTCAAATCCGCAATTAGTAACACTTTTGTTATTGATAACGCTGCGAAATAAAAAATTACGAGAACTAGATTTAACTTCACATAAATTATGAAAAAATTATGATGTAATATTTTCTAACATAAGACTTTATTCATTTATGGTCAACAACGCAAGAATATAATTTCAAAAGTGTGTTTTTCATCAATATGCAATAACATCATAAACATATAAGTGTAAATCATGATATAAAACAGGTTTATGCTGTTAACTACGGATTCCAAGTCTAAACTGCAGGTCTAATAATACACTTAATTTACAAACTTCATTTCTTTTTAAATAAATGTCGTTCGTTTTCTATTACACTTTTGAAAAAGTAAACTAATTAATTTGCTAATTCAAAAAAGAGATTGATTTGCTATTTTCTAGCCAAAATGTACAATAACAATCTTATTCTTACATGAAAGGATTTTAGTATTGATGATTTATTTTTTTTTAGTATTGATGATTTCGCCAAAACATCTTATTAAAAAATAGAATATAGAATATATAAGAAATAACTTCGAACGTAAGAAATTGGAAGTGGTATTTGTTTCTTCCAAAAAAAAAAAAGAAATTGGAAGTGGTACTGTTGTGGAGAGAGACATATAGAGAGAGAGAGAGACGAAACATGAAACATGGGGAAGGCTTCAGTTTCCAAAGCAAAACGGCTTCACAGTTTAACAGTTCAGTTCCGAACTGCGGGAATCGAACGATTGGATCTCTATCTCACTCTTTTCATTCTTCTAACTATAATATATTATTAATTTTTCAACTAATTTTCAGTTTAATATCGCTAGTAACGACAAACAATCAAAAGAGTTTTAGTATTGTTAATAATTTACTTTTATTCTTACCGACGCATCTTAGGACGCCCCAATTCGAACATGGAGGGCCGTGCCAATAAAGGGCTTCTATTTCCACGTCAAGGTTCGTGCGGCTTCGGGTTTTAAGTTTTCACTGCACCTCCCCATGTGAACTCTTTTTACTTTTCTCTTTTTTTAATTCATAGTGATATTTATTTTTCAAGATCTGACCATTTTATAAGTTTGCATGTGATTTTAATTTTATTAAACTATATTACTAGTTTGAATTTTTTACCAATAATATTATTGACAAAAAATATATGTATCTAACAAACTGTTAAAAATATATGTATCTAACAAACTCTTTCAATCATCATATAAAATCCTGTGTGTAGGCTTGGCTTAATAAATTAATCAGTTATCTTATAACGAGATGTCTCGATCGATGATAATGGTTAGATCCATCTTTCTAGAGGCTCAAGTAAAATAGCTTTCCAAGTAAATCAACAAAAAAAAAATACCAAAGAAAGAGTATTTGGAAGATTTATATATACCTATGAGTAAATAATGATTGGCTTCACTTCAACGACTAAATCATATGTTTTGAGTAGTATTCGAATTTATTTAATTTCTTATGATAACAAGAACATAGCCGGCTTATAGTATTACATAAAATACATAATCAAAAAGTTGACGCCGATTTAATAAAATAATAAACTTATCTTTAATGCTTTATTCAAATATTATAGCATTCAAGTTTTCAGACTGACGATCGTTGCATGTGCTGGTGATGAACAACCGGGGAAGCAATGAATATATCAGCAACGATTACGCAGAAAGCATTAAACATTTTATAAAGGTAGATAATAATATTATTCTTTTCAGAATATTAGATTGGACTTTTTCTAATATTCAGTTTAGATTAGACTACACTGTTTAATTAAAACTTATAATTCTAAATTATCATTCGACGTTAACGTTAATACACAAGCAAATAAAATGATCGTATATTTTACTATTTATGTGTAATGTGATTATCGTCATTTGGTCTCGCATTCTTTTGAAATTATATCAGCTATTATTCTAATATTTTACGTACTGCGAAAGGATTTTTCAATCACAAAATTCACTATCGATAAAGAAAACAACATAAGTTGTATAGTCCATAAACTATCAACTTGTTCGGTGGGGAAGTGAATGTAATTTGAATGAAAAATTATCTTGTTATCTCCCTCTGTTTGTAAGTTGTAAATTTCTCTATTAATCGTTTTTTTATAATTTTCTCTATTTATCGTTTTTTATCTAACCATGACTTGTAACATAGTGGTGTGAGCTAGTATTACCATTGTGTTACTAATATATTACTCAGGTAGTCAGGTTCAATCCCAATTTAACGCATGATGATGAAAAAGGAATAGAGAGATGGGAAATATTATATATATAAACGCTCTTACAATTTCATCGAGTTATATATTTACATGAAAAAAAAGATGAAGAATGAATGGTTTTCTAATATTATATCATGTACAGAAATATAGTTTTGGACAAAAAGAAAGTGAAGATCAAATTATGACATTGAAAAGTTGATGCGGAAAAACGGAATTGATAATACGGAACAGAACTTACAAGGTAAGCAGAACAGATATGGTAAATGTGGAACAAGTTGAAATATGTAATAAATGGAAATGGTTGATAACTCGACTCACATTGTAGTTTCTGAC